AAACATATGCCTTAATTTGAGGTCTATACATTAATTTGAGTTCCATGTATTATTAAACACTCAGGTTGATGTAATGAACATATGCATTTTAATATCGATGTTGACATTAATTGTAGGACAAGCATTTTGAAATATATGTTCTACACTTTTCTTCAAAACTATATATTTATATCAAAGTAGATAGTGAATGCATACACATTACACTGCAATATGTATCATTTAGTAAGTGTCAGTCTAAAACATGTCACCTTCTGAAAATTATTGAATTGTCTTAAAAATTTTATAAAATAAAAGCGCTATACAAAAATGAATCCCATAATCGTAGAATAGCACGAATACGACAGAATACAAAAATGAATCCCATAATCGTAGAATAGCACGAATACGACAGAATACAATACTGAATCCCATAATCGTAGAATGGCACGAATACGACAGAATACAATACTGAATCCCATAATCGTAGAATAGCACGAATACGACAGAATACAATACTGAATCCCATAATCGTAGAATAGCACGAATACGACAGAATACAATACTGAATCCCATAATCGTAGAATAGCACGAATACGACAGAATACAATACTGAATCCCATAATCGTAGAATAGCACGAATACGACAGAATACAATACTGAATCCCATAATCGTAGAATAGCACGAATACGACAGAATACAATAATGAATCCCATAATCGTAGAATAGCACGAATACGACAGAATACAATAATGAATCCCATAATCGTAGAATAGCACGAATACGACAGAATACAATAATGAATCCCATAATCGTAGAATAGCACGAATACGACAGATTACAATAATGAATCCCATAATCGTAGAATAGCACGAATACGACAGAAAAGCAATATTTACAATAAAAGATATCAACCTCTGATAATTAATTGATGATTATTATTTCATGATTAAATTATGATTAATTTATTTGCAAGACAAGTGTTTACACAGCCACGTATATCATGATATTTATATTTCGTGAAACCATGTTATTCAGACAATGAAATATACACAGTAACGTTAAATAGTAACATGGAACTCTTACACAGAGATAACAATCAGTTTTATTTATTGTTTATAATATCTGGAGGCAGGGTCAATGAAAACCCACCCATACAATCTTAAATGTACTTGTCAGTCAATTATTGACAATTCCGTTGAGGGCGCACCTCGCACGACCTCCGATTATATCCATATTCACTATGTTAAAATTCTATCCAATGCAACATACGCATATTAAAGCCCATTTTCAACATTTTCTTTCCAATGGAGAAAGTTCACTTATCCAAACCTTGTCGTTGATTCACAACCCCATCCTCCATCTCTCTCTGTAATATTACTAAATTTATAGTCACGTGTTTCACATCACAAACTAACTAAACTAAAGTGATAATTTAACTGGTTCACAAAGTATTACAGCAATATTATGATTCAGTGACAGAGATATTATTGTTACATTAAATAATACTCAGTTGTAACAGTTGTAACAAACAATATAAATAGTATAGTTTGTCAAACTGGTTATTCTAATACATATTTTAGAATGGACGATATTGATGTAAGTTAGTTGACAATTCAAAACTAGATTTGTTAAAACAGTTTCTGGACACTTGCGATGGACACGCCCATTCAAAATGTCCTTAATATTTGGCTTATCATAGTCGTCGAGTCAAGTTTTCCGAAGGCGTCATGTATACTAGTACTGCAGACAATTAACGGGTGCATTTCCATTATTGGGTTAATTGAGAACGCGCGTCAAAACTTTAACGACTGGATGGCATAGCAAGGTTGCAACAAATAAATATTTAAATCGCTACAGTTCGAATTGCATGTACTAAACAAACAATGTATTTTACATGCGTTATAATGTACATAACGTTGCAGGGGGTCCCATATCGAACGCGACGAGGCGCGATCCCGGGGTGCCCTATAAAGAAATTACCTATTGGAGATGTGCCACTGAAATGGGGTTTGTTCTAGGTATATATATGGGTTCTATTTACTGTTCAAAAAGGTATAAATTCATGGTATAAATATCTGGCAGACTGTAGCTGTCCGAGATAGCTCTTTTTAATAAATTCGGGTTCACATGTAAGAAACAAACCCTCGTGTAAATAAATTGTTTCAATAATGCTCAGCCATGTCTTTCATGTCGTCCAGGCACAATCAGTCACCGTCACCGAATCAGTCACCGCCACCGAATCAGTCACCGTCACCGAATCAGTTACCGTCACCGAATCAGTCACCGTCACCGAATCAGTCACCGTCACCGAATCAGTTACCGTCACCGAATCAGTCACTGTCACCGAATCAGTCGCGGTCACCGAATCAGTCACCGTCACCGAATCAGTCACCGTCACCGAATCAGTCACCGTCACCGAATCAGTCACCGTCACCGAATCAGTCGCGGTCACCGAATCAGTCACCGTCACCGAATCAGTCGCGGAATGCAAGTGCATGCTCATAATAGCGTGGCAACCATCTATGTACTTTTCTATGACATTCATCGTACAAAATTGTTTGTTCCCAGTCTGTTTTCTGAAAATTAAAAACACGTTTCTTTAAAACGTTGACATACCTGCCAAATTTTAAGAAATGTTGCGTGCAAGAAAAACTGTGCATACCATGTAATATTTTACATTTTACTAAACGTATAGCAAATGATTTCCTTTCAGTAGTACTACATTATGTAGTACAGACATAACAGTGTGCCTTAATGCGAGCAACTGCATCTCAAAAATAGAAAGGATATACTTGTATGTATTGAGTACTTTATTGACTTACTTAAGTCGTGAAGCTTTGTATCTTAGTCAGGTAAGGCATGTTTATACTTAAACATATTAATAAAAATGTACAATCCCGACAGTTTTAAAACAGCCTCATTTAATTTCTAACGAAACGATTTTGTTTTCGGTCGCCAAAGGTCAAAATTTTAGAGTTTGATTCTATTTCACGTATTAGTGTAACAAGCTCTCTAAAGTAAATTTAACTGTTTCAACTGTTATATATATATATATATACATCTGTATGATATATTGTTATGTTCTGGAAAGATTGTCAGTTTTGAAGTCGTTTCGTTATTTTTTAATTAAATGTATTTCTTATGTCAATGTAAATACGTGGTAGTGTTATTTTTTCTTAAGTAACAAACTGCCAAATGTTTTACTATTTTTCAACTTAGTTGTGTTAAACTGCCTCATGACTTAAGTTTATGTATATAGTTTTATTTCTTACAGCGGTCGCAAACACAATTCGTACGGGAAGTTAGCAAATCCTCCAGGATAGTCCCTATGAACATCGCAATATAGCGAGATACTTTCTTATTGGCGCCATCAAATGATCTAATGTTATTGAAACAATTTGTTTTATTTTGTGGTAATCTCATTTTCCCTGGCACTACTCCTATGGGTTAATTCATGTTTGTCTTGTTATTTACTATGGTCAGGTGGTTTTATGTTATCATATTTCAACATTGTTGTATAAAACTACTGAAAGAATGTTGTAAATTATCTGTACGAATCATATTTGCGGTCGCCTCAACCGTCCGGGGAAGTTAAAGCGGGGGGGGGGGGAGTTGTCACCTGCGCATGCGTCAGATGGCCATAGCGTGTCATTCAAGTTGTTTACAGACAAGCTTTTGCGTTTTTAGCGTGTTTTGTTATTATCGCTTGGAACTCAATTTCCGCGCGTGCGCAGGTGACGACCCTCCCGCTTTAACACTGAAAACATGTTGTTTTTCAAGTTGTTTTAAACAACCATGTTCTCTTCTTCTTCGTGGTGAAAGCCTTCTCCCTGTTTTGCGATGTAAGTAAGAAAGCCGATAACTAAGCAAATTTGCATCAACGTATACAGAACGAAATAGGCTCGGTCGAATATTCTGGCAACTTCCCGCCAATCATGAAGACGACGACGTTGAGTTTCAGGGTCAGTGTCAAGGTCAGTACCAAGTAATCCTTCTTCGGTACACGCTGGCATTCTGGCATCCACCTCTTGTGTATTGTGTTGTTCACAGCCTTCTAATCTGAGATGGGATCGTTTGATTCCATTGTACATGTTCATGGGTATATCTTCGTTGGTCTTCACTGTTTTATCATTTTTCAGTCGTCTATACTTGCGAACGCGAATTTTGGTGCAAGCCATAGGTGCCAGGATTCGAAACGCGAGGATTTTTTTCCATTTCGGTACTTCTTCACACACAGGGCTTCTGAAATGCATATTCAATGTCCATGCGGTGACGAAAGCAGAAACAACAGCCATCCCAATGGTGGTAAAGAAATATCGTTCTGTAAGGAAAATAATCGATAAGTGGGAAAGAAGGAATTAAATTCTCGTCACCAACTATAAATCAAGTGTCAAGAAGCAAACACTGCCCTCAACGAACATGTATTGATTTTACAGGTCGTACATTCCGCGTGACCTGATGTAAAAGTTGACCAGTGTTCTGACAGATTAGTTTAACAATATAAGGGCATGTCATCTTTGCACGAACTGTTTTGCTCTCTTGTCAGTTTAATTTTTTTTTTCGTAAATTTAATCTCGTTTTACATTCTTTGAAACTCAAAGCTAATCGAGTGAAATTAGTTATAGCGCCATCTATAGTCAAGAAAGAAGTTTGAATCTAAGATATTCGAGTGATTTTTTCAGGCCGCTTATCACGTCGATTTGACTGTCACTCCATTGTATTTGTATGCAAGGAATTGTAAATTATAGAACCATGTGATCATTGAAAGCACATTCTGCACACTATTAATAGGTGAATGTCTGGTACTTCGAGTTTCAAAACTGTGCAATTTAAACTTACGTAAATGTGGCACAAATTCTGCCGTGGGCGGCATGAAGTCGGCGACCACGGTCAGAAAGACGAATTGGGATAAAATACTGATGACACATAAACTCATTCTTTCTCCTGAATCAGAAGGCATGTAAAATCCAACAGAAATCAAGATATAGGCCAAGAACGATGGAAACACAATGTTGACCACGTAGAACGTGGAGCGTCGCTTCAGGTGGAGTGTGTATGTTATAGCAGGAAACGGAACTGTGCAACATTCATGGAGATCAGAACTATCGGTGACTGGCATCTCAAGTAACTCCCACTCTCCGTTAGGGATGAAACGTTTAATATTACTCGCTGGGTCAGGTATGTAGTTCATTAGATTACCATGGTAACTCCAGGAGGCGAATCTGAAATTACATCGTTGTTCGTCGAAGGGAAACAATGTTGCATCAATTGCGCAAGTCGCTTGAATAATGAAGAACTGTATAGCCATGATGCTCCCGTTACTCTGCACAATGGCTTCTGTATCAAGATGGCGCAATGAATCATGGCTGACACTGGAATATAAACAAATATATTATTATATATTCAACACACATCTATGAATTATAATGTAATTAAATTACCTTTATTATTACAAAAATATAAACAGTTGGACCTATTTCTCCATCACGTGACAGGACCAAGCGATTACGTAACTCTTACATTACTACATGTGAATGTTATACTATATGAACTATGAGTCAACGAGTCAGTCTCTAATTATGAATTGAATTTCGTTAATTATTTTTGTGAGGGTAATTTTATATGTTGATGTTCTGTAAATGGAAAACCACTCCATGTCATGCGCAGAACAGATTTAGTTCGTGTTCTGTGTGACGTCCAATTTGTAATTGTACAAACGAACCATAGTATACTGACATTAGTTGCAGGAAGTATTTGCTTAGTGGTTGGGTGGGTGGTGGACACACATTTGTCACGGTATTTGTCAGTTACTGGATAATGTATAACTCGTTATATATACTATCTAATGCAGAACACGTAGGCATTAAACAAATGAATTAATCGTAAGCTTGTTCACTTACAGACGGCAGTTGTTTTGTCGTGCCCGGTTCCAACTTTATGTATTGAAATTTCTTTGTTCGTGCGCGACTTACATTCGCTGTATATTAATTTAGGAGTACTACAACACAATCACAAAATTATCCGGTATTTGATTAACAGTGAAGGAATACCCATGGGATAATAGGCTTTATACAACGGCCAAGTGATTGACAGTACAAGTATCAACGACCTGGTCGCAGCTGGGATTTCTTGCACTAATGAGAGACAAGCCGTGGTGTTTACTGATTTCCGACTGAAAACTTTAAACAAAGACATTGGAAAAAGACGTCGCTTCAACAGATTAGAGAAATTAGAGAATTGTTTGTAGATCATTATTTATCCTGGACCGGACTTTGCATCAAAGAAGAGTCCCCGTAACCGGGATTACATTTATCTAGATGACATAGAAATACTGAAAGAAAT